AATGCCCTTCCCCTATAGTGAGACTGATGACTACTTTTTATGCCATCCTAGAGCCCTCATCCAGTGGCTGATGGAAGCTGAGGAAGACACCCACAGATATACACTGAACTCAACTCTGGAACTTAGTTGCAGAGAGGGAGGAATGAAGATCAAAGGTACTGGTACTGACTGTTGAAACCCACAGAAACAGCTGGCCTGAACTAGGGGAGCACATCGACCCCAGACTGCTGTCCCAGACCCCTGAACATGGATGTCAATGAGGAGGCCTCTGCACTCTATGGGGCCCCTGGTAGTGGATCAGTATTTTTCCCTGGTGTAAGAAGGGACTTTGAGAGCTCATTCCACATGAAGGGATGCACTCTTGGCCTGGACACATGGGGGAGGGGCTAGGCCTGGCCGAGGATGATGTGGCTGACTTTGGGGAGGCCCCTGTAGAGGGCCCTACCCTGCCTGGGGATTGGAGGGTCGATGGTGTGGGGGTAAGTTGTGGGTGGGGAGATGGGATGGGGGGAGGGGAGGGAGAGGGAGAGGGAGAGGGAGAAGGGATTGACATGTGAAGCAAGCTTGTTCCTAATTTGAACTAATAAAAAAAATTACAAAAACAAGCAAAAAAACTCCCAAAACCAAAACCAAACCAAACCAAAACAAAACCCAGACCCGTAGTGAGGAGTCATGAGGATTCACAGACATCTAATATCTATTGAAACAGTGTGTTATATCAACCAGTAAAAAGACAAAATAGAGACTACAGTTATGTTAATTTTTAAATTTAAACTTATTTTATGTGCATAGGTGCTTTGTCTGAGTACTGTGTGCTTGGCTGTGTCTGTAGAAGCCTTGTCTGGAACAGAAGTTACAGAAAGTTTTGAGCTGTTATGTGGGCGCTGGGAATGAAGCACTGGTCTTTTGGAAGAAAATCCAGTGCCTTTAACTGCTAAACTGTCTCTCCAGTGCCCTAACTAGTTCCAATCATCAAAAACTCAAAGTTTTGGAGAACAGAAGCTTATAAATGTGATAAAGAATAAATTATTAGAGATAAATGTAACATCATATTGAAATATTAAATACATTTCAGGTAAAATAAAGAATAAAACTATAGTTGACACAGTTTTGGAGGGGTAATTAATGTAATTACAAAAGAAAAATCACATAAATTTTGGAAAAGAGATATAATTAATTTTATTTGAAGATAACTGTATTAATACTCAAAGAATGAACTGGGGCTTAGATTAATTCAGAAAAGAGCAAAATACAAAATACACAAGTCAATTCTTCTATTTTACGGTCCTTATCACCAGTTTGATTATCTAATATTCAGAATTCTCATTTACTACAATGATTTCTTACTACAAAACTTCTAGCAATAAATCAAGTAAGTAGTTAAAACACCAATGTAGAAGGAATAGATAAGGCATAAGCCATGCAGATGGAAAATGCTTAATTTAGTAGGATATTTACCTTTGAGTCAGACTGAAGGTCTTGAATTGACAAGGTAGATGCAATAGGAAGGATTATTAAGGCTTTCTCTAAAATTTTCCTGACTGTAGTTTTTCCTCCACCTGTTGTGCCCACGAGCATCACACCAACACAAACCTAAAGTGAAATTCACAGATTAGTGTGCTGAGGAACTATTTCCAGTTTCTCTACCAGCACCTGTCTTGCTTGTACCCATCCCGCTCTCCCTTCATATGACTGTTCAATCCATGGCAGTGTGGCTCTCTGCTTTATTGTATCAGCTAAGGCTGAAGGGAGAAGCAATATCCTAATAAAAGAATACCTTTAATTTTTGGAGACCCCAAGATGCTGGAGATGCCAGAGTCATGGGACACCTGCCTACGAGAGCTGCTGACAGGGACTGGAAACAGCCCAAGAGAGAGAAATGTGTTGCAGTCAACAAAGCTGAAAAGGGTTGGAGATCTGAAGAACATTCTGACATCAGACATGGAAATGCAGAGTTTAGAGTTTACCCAGATAGTTTTCAGTCTTGCTTTGGTTCAGTATTTCCTGTGTTTTGGAATGGTAATGTATATACTGTGCTATTATATGTTGGAAGTATGTGACCTATTTTTTTTATTTTATAGGGAATTACATTTAAGAGATTGCATGAATGTCAGAAGTGACTTTTAACTTTGGACATCAAAACATTACTGAGACTGTGATAGACTATTGCATTATGATATTGTTACAAGCTTCTGGGGCTAGGAAGTGGAGCGTGGGAGTTTGAATATAATTGGCCCCTATAAGTTCATAGGGAATGCCACCAGTAGGTATCACTTTGTTGGAGTAGGTATGGCCTTTTTGGAGGAAGTGTGTCACTGTGGGGGCGAGCTTTGAGGTAATCTAGGATCAAGCTTTGCTCGGACCACTTCCTGTTGCCTACAGATTCAAGATACAGCTCATTTTGTCCCCTCAGCTCCTTCTCCAGCACCATGTCTGCCTGCATGCTGCCATGTCCCACCGTGATGATAATGGACTGAACCTCTGAACTGTGAGTGAGCCACCCCAATTAAATGTTTTCCTTTATAAGAGTTGCCATGGTCACAGTCTCTTTCTCTACAGCAGTAGAAATCCTAAGGCAATGAGGTAAAACGAAAATGCATTTGGGTTGTAGATCCTATTAGCAAGAGTAACTGTGGTCAATATAACATTGTTCTCTTGGGAACATTCACTGGAAGCTAAGACACTAGGTAAATGAGAGGTGGGTGCTCTTGGGGGGTGGAATCATGGGGCATTGACATTCCTACATGCTGTTGGAGCAGAGGCATTGGCAGCTTATGTTTTCAAGAGTGTAAGACAGACTTTGGGGGTGAGAGTGCTTCAGATTGGCTGTAGGGTCTTAGGCAAGCTAAATATGCACACTAACACTGAACTATACTCCATCAAGCGCAAATTTGATATGTAGACTGTATATTTAAAATGTCTCCATCAGAAACAAAAGTTGGGTATTCTTGATGCCAGTATTAATACCAGGGCTGGGTGCACTAAACCCAAGGTTCTCATCACACATTGCCCATGTACGTCGGTTACCAATCCTTGTGTCCCTTTGACCATTACCATCGCAGCGAGTGGTGTAAATATGCTAGTCCGCCTACTGGTACCGTTGTAACCAATTGCTCTTTGTCTCTGATCTAGGAATCTAGTTCTTCTGCCGATAGGAAGACAGGACAGTGTTCACTTCACAAGCCACAGTGTGGTATAGACACTGATGGAGAAAGAGGAGCCAATAAACTGATGCACCAGTTTTACTAGATGTGCAAACCAGACGTGCTATGGAAGTAGCAAGAAGACACTGGAAAACTGTCTTTTTGAGAAAAAAATCTCTAGCTGACACCTTAAAAATAACTCCAGACAACTTAAAAATGGAAAATGAAAATATTTAAAAATTTTGGGAAAAATTCATAGAAAATGTCTTTACAAAGATAGTTGAAAAGTTTTTTTTGTTTTTAAATAAGACACAGAATGCTGAAACCATGAAGGAATAGAACCTACTGCACTAAAATTGTCTTCAATGCAACTTGAACATAGTAACACTTCTAAAAAGTTGAGACGTGGAGAATTTACTTATAATATACACAGCCATCAAAGAATTATGATGTAAAACACACGAGAAGCATATCATTTCCTAAGAAAAAGATAAACAACCAACTGAAAAATGAGTACAGTATAAAATTTGGCAATCCACACAAAACCCAAACAGCTAAAAGTATTTAAAGAGACATATTCTCTCACAAAGAATCAGGGGCACACACATTCTAGTGTCTGTGAAAATACACAGCATATATCCACAGCCAGGAAGAACAGGAAGTTTAAAGATGGCATGGCAATAGGATACAGGCTACTTTAGACTATATTTGCAGGGCTCTGACAAGTATATATTAATGAATAAAAGAAAAAATCATTCTGTCGAATTAAGGTGAGATACAATGTCTAGGAAAACATTTAATTTGCCATTGTGCTTCAAAGAGTACAATGTTCCTTCTCTACTGTTCTGTGTTTTCACCTTTGACCTTACTGACTGAAACTCAGGTAAAGAATCTGCTGACATGCCATTCTATACTTACCTCAAGTTGATGGTACAACTGTGTGATCTTTTCTTTCTGAGGCAGCCAATGTTGAAAGCCTAATTGTTCTGTTGCAATAGATATTGCTTTCTAAAAAATATAGACATATTAAAGTACATTATAACTTAACATCTATCAATCTACCTACCTACCTACCTATCAACCCACCCACCTGGCCACCTATTTACTGCAGTCTTGGGGATAGAAACAAGGTCCTTGTACAAAGTAGCCTAATGAGGCACCACTGGGCCACACCCCCAGCCCAAAGGTTTAAATTGTAATCCCTCGGAACCTCTTAGCTACTTATTATTGTAGTTTACAGTAGTATTTCTCCATTCTTTTTTTAAGTTTACCCACTTCTGTCTTTGTAAATAATAAAAAGCATTATTTTTCTCACCAGAAATGTGCAACGCACAGAAAATTTTTATGTTCACAGACCTTTGGTAGAAAATTCATAAACCCTCCCTCAGACGAAGAATCCTCATTTTCAGATTAATATACACAATCATATGCACAAAACCACAAAAATGGACTTAGCACACGGTGTTTATACATTAGTGCATATATTTGTATCAATAAGAAAGAAAAAGAGGCCATCAGTTTCGAGGGAGTGAGGAGGGACCCGGGAGGGACAGGACGGAAGGAAGGAAAGAGGGGGAGTGATATTGCTTCAGGACTATGTATGATGTTCCCTGGAGGGAGGTCAAAAAATGGGGGGGGAGGGAGAGAGAAATTTTACAAGTGGATAAAGAAAGCGGAGTCCAAAAGATAAGAGGAATAGCTTGATTTGCACCAGATAAAAGAGACTTTTAATAAAAAGCTAGAAAAGCAATCAAAAAGTGTAATCACGGGCACACCTTTAATCCCAGCACTTGGGAGGCAGAGACAGGTGGATCTCTTTGAGTTTGACGCCAGTCTGGTCTACAGAGTGAGTTCCTGTACAGCCAAAGCTGTTACACAGAGAAACCCTGTTTTGAAAAACAATAAAAACAAACACACAAAAGATTAATCATGCATGATAAAAGGTCAATTCAGTCAGGTGATACAACAGGCATAAAGTATTTGTCCCTAATATTGCTGTCCCTAATGCTACAGGAGTAAATATCGGTGGACTTCAAGGGACAGGGACACCCAACACAGCAGCAGCAGCAGCAGCAGCAGCAGGGCACTTAGCATTCCACGGTCAGCATAAGCAGAGTACCCACAGGAAGTTAGCAAAGAAATGCCAGAGTTAAATCGTATCCTGGACCAAAGGTGGCAGCAGACTCTCATAGAACACTCTGTACAACAGCTGCAAATGCAGACTGCTTAGCAGCACACGGAAAACTCTCCATATACATTTTAGAGTCAGCCACAAAAAGCAAGCATCAATAAAGTAAAAGCAAACATGAAACCACGTCAAATACCATATACATCTTAGAGTTGACCACAAAATCAGGCATCACAAAATTTATAAAAAAAACCATGAAACCACATTAAATATCATTTTTGCCCACAACAGCATAAAATCAGAAGGCAGCAACTAGAGGCACTTGGAATACTAAACAAATACAGGAGCTGAAACATGGTCTAGAAGAACCCGGGGGTTGTGTACATGCATGCACCACTGAGAACATGTGTGTTCTCCTGTGTGTGTGTGTGTGTGTGTGTGTGTGTGTGTGTGTGTTTACTGGTAGGATCTGGGGATCAAAATCAAGTTGTCAGACTTGACTGCAAGCCCCTCCACCTGCTGAACCACTTCATTAGCCCAGAAATTATAAAATTTATAGAGACAAATAATGGCCACACAGTATGCCCCAAATGGTGCAATTAGAGCAAAAGTAGAATGTGGGCAAATTGATAGGAAAAATAACCCACCACTGAAAACCAGCTGGAGAGATGGCTCAGTGGTTAAGAGGACTGACTGCTCTTGTAGAGGACCTAGGTTTGATTCCCTGCACCCACGATGTGGCTCAAACTATGTTAACTCCAGTTCCAGAGGATCTTATGCCCTCTTCTGCGGGCACCGAGCATGACTGGTGTGCATACATGCACATAGGCAAACAACAACAACAAACAAACAAAACACACCCAGACACATACAAATATAATTTAAAGAGAAGATTTCAAATAAATAACCTAATATTGTACCCTGAGGATTAACAAACAAGAAACAAGAGTAACCCAAATTCCAATTTAGCAGTAAGAAAAAAATCAAAAAAGTGCAGAAATAAGCACAATAAAGATTTAATATACAAACGATGAGTGACAGACGCTTCCAATCAGTGTGAATACATGGGCATATGTGTATTGATGATGCAAGTGACTGCATTCATGTATGCACATTCACGAGGCAGGCAGAAGACAGCCTTAGGGGCATCCTCAGAAATGTCGTCCGCCTCTTTGGAGACAGGGTCTCTCATTGGCTGGAGCTCACTAAGTAGGCTTTACTGACTAGCCAGTGAGTCTCTGCCTGTTTCCACTTCCCCAGCGGTGGGTTTTAAACGGGTGCCACCATGCCCAGCTTTTTCTGTGGCTTGCAAAGGTTCAAACCCAGCTTTTCAGGCTTTTAAGGCAAGCACTTTACCAATTGAACTATGGAGGCCTTCTTTTTAAAATAAAAAAAAAATTAGATAGACAAAGAAATGAGAAAACTCATATAAATAAAGCTAGAGACCAAAAAAAAAAAAGGAGACATTATGATAGATAACACAACGATAAAAAGGATCATTAGATAAAATTATGAACAATTGCACACCAACAAATAAAAAAACCAACAGAAGAAATGAACAAATTTCTGGACATATACAACTTACCAAAATTGACTAAGGAAAAATTAGATGCCTGAGGAAACCCATAAAAATAAAGGATGAGACTGAATCAATAAGAAAACGTTTCCCATTAAAGAAACACCCAGGACCAGATGGCTCCACAAGCATTTAAAGACTAAAACTAATTCCTTTCTAACTCTCTTCTAAAAATATGAAGGGAATGAACTCTTTTAAATTCATTGTTTGGGGCCAGCATATTTTGATAAACACAGCACCACAGCAAAGGGGGTAATAAAGATAATATCCTTGAGAAATATGGTTGTAAAAATCCTGGATAAAATACTAGAAATAAAACCCAGGAGCGCATTCAAAAGCTGTTTCACTGTGACCTGTGGAGATTCACTTCAGTGCAGAAAGCAGCAAATGTCCTCACACTAACAGAACAAGGGACCAAAGCCATGCCATCACCTACACACACACAAAATTTGCAAGGAGAAAATTCTAGTCTTCCAAACTCCCAATAGCAAAAAAGAAAACTAACCTTGAATTTCGAAAAAAAAAAAAAACTTTCTCAAAAAGATGGAAGCTCCAGAAGAAGGCAAAAAGAGATGGCAAGGAGTTTGGAGGCAGACTGGTTAGTTAAGAAATCCATAATGCATTCCAGCAGACTGCTGGGTAGTCTAAGAAAGAAGCAAACACCAGGAGAGTATGAAACAGGATAATCTCAAGAAACAGGACACTGAAAGCTAATTAATCAAATTAATACATATTAACTAATTTGTCAAATTAATTACATATGCTACCAATACATTTAAAAGCAGCTACAAAGCTGCTTAATTGTTCTTTCTGAAATAACTATGGAAAAAAAAACACCTCTCAAGTCAGGTCTAAGGCAAAGTAATCCATACATTTTGAAAGTCTGAACAGCTGGGAGAGAGGAAGCAACAGGGGCAGAAGTAGCAGGGAGACTGTTAGCAGGTAAAGGCGGCGAGTGCAGAATATGCTGGAAGATGACCTGGCTGCCGGATGAAGGAAGCCAGTTTTTGTCAATAATTTTGAATTTGTGTGTAAGGCAATGGAAAGTCAACGCTGGTTTTGCTCATGCTATCACACATACCTTAAGGGATGAACTTGGGGAACCTTGTGGGAACACCCCAAATGCAGTAAACACATAAGAACGGTTAAGGTCTCCTGATAACAGGGAGCAATCACCGTGCTTTTACAGTGAAACCAGTACCATCACTTAAGGACTCAGCATTTTTTCTGCCTATTTTTTCTTTCCATCAGTCACGGTGTGCTGAAAGCTCCTTCTCCCCTGGTAAAACTATGTCGGCAGTGTCTCCCATATTACCTCCAAGTATTGTATTACCTCCAAGACAAGGTGTTGCGTCTTCGACACTGTTATCCCAGGAAAGGTATCTTCAATGATCTTTTCAAAATGTTGGACATCTTCAGGAAGGCACTTTGATAAAGTAGCTCTTTGGATTGACTCGATAATGATCAGAGATTCATCTGCTTCAGAAAGATCGTCACTGTAGCAGTTGAGAACAAATCCAAATTATTTCTGCAGTGCCCTTTCCTCACCCCAAACCCTCCGATGTCCCTTGCTTGCTAAATGAAAGCTTTGGGAATTCCCCTAAGGAATACAAGGGAGGAAACTGCCTGTGTAGGCAGGAAAAATTACATCTCCCCAGTGATGTACTCATTTCTTAGAACTGCTGAATACGTTTTAACATGGTAAAAGAATGAGTTTTTTTGTTTTTCGAGACAGGGTTTCTCTGTGTAGCTTTGGAGCCTATCCTGGCAATCGCTCTAGAGACCAGGCTGGCCTTGAACTCACAGAGATCCGCCTGCCTCTTCCTCCCGAGTGCTGGGATTAAAGGCGCGCGCCACCAACACGCGGTTAAAGAATGAGTTTTTATCTGTTATTACAAATATGTTCTTTTGCCGATTCTAGATTTTGTTTAATGTGTGTGGGTGTTTGGCCTGCATGTATGCGTACCGCCTGTGTGCAGTGCACACAGAGGCCAGAAGAGGATTTGTCACTGACAGGTGTCAGCTGCCACATAGGTGCTGGAAATTGAATCCAGGTCCTCTGGAAGAGCAGCTGGTGCTCTTAACCGCTGAGCTCTCTCCAGCCCCGTAGATTCTAGATTTTGACTTTTGGTTTTAAAAGTCATATGAGGTCTGTGATGGTCGCTTTTGACTGTCAACACAATGGGATACAGAATGACCATGGAGACAAACTTCGACTCACATCTGGGAGTTTCTAGACTGGGTTAACTCTGTTCCACCCAAATGTGGGTGACACCATTCTGTGGGGGTCTGGACTGAATTAAGAGGAAAAAGTGATCTGAGCTTCCTCAATGCAGACACAATGCCACCAGCATCTTTCAGCTCCTGCAGCCATGATGGATTGTGGGGGTCAACGTAAGCCTTCTCATCGAGTTGCCTTGATCAGGTATTTTGCCATAGCAATGAGCAACTCCCTGACAAGAGGCCCCTGGTTCAGTCCCCAGCACTGGGACAAGAGCCTTCTCTACTCCAAGGGTATAGAAGACACTGTGTTCCTCTTGACAGTTTTATGGTTGAGGTTTGCTTACATTTAAATTCCACAATTGCTTCAGGTTGTCTTGGTGAATGCTGTGGTGCATGGTTCCCACTTGACCTTTCTGCAGGCGGTGGCCCCACACTCAACAATGATCCGCTCTGGGTGACGGGGTTATGAGACACCACGTGTACCAGGCATGCAGTCCTGCTTCCCGACTTTCTACACCAGTCCAGGGCTTTGTCCATTGACAACCAGCACCACACTCTCAATTGTTGAAGTTTCCCAACATAGCTTAATACTTAGAAAGGTTTGTCTCCTTGGTTTCTCTTGTTTTTCCAGTATTTTAAAACTACTTTTGTTTATTTTTCCATGTGAGTTTTAGAATCAGTTTGTTTAAAAACAAATAACAAAAAGTCCCTTTGCTTATTCTCGGATTATGGACACATGCAACATTGCCTGGCCTTTTATGTGGGTGCTGGGGATTTGAACTTGGGTCCCCGTGTTTGTAGAACAGGCACCCATATACTCACTGAGCTGCTGCGTTAGTTTCCCTTTTTTCATAAATTAATGCCAGATATTTAAACTTTTATATCTTAAGATGCCTTATGTTACAAGTGGCTATTTATTTTAGTCATTCACATGGATTTTCACCTTGCAGTCTTGTTCGTTCCAGTATCACCCACTGGTACCCAAGTCTGGATGTTCAAGTCCCTTACATAGAATGCTGTATTTGTGTATCATCTGCACAATCCTCCCATGTCATCTCTAGGTCAGTTACAATGCCCCAAACACTAACACTGTATGACCAGCAATGCTCCATTGATTACAGAACAGGAAAAAGGTGCATGCCTGCTTTGTGCAGGTACGATGTTATCTTTCTCATTATTTTTCTTCATTTATCTATATGCTTTATTGCATTTAAGTAACACACACCTTCTAAAGAATAGGCTGTGCTAAGGATCAGGAATCCATGTTTTGGTTCATTTTTGTTCTTTTGATACCACTAAGTGCCTTTCAGTCCATCTTACTGTGGTGCTCTGGTAGCTTCCTGTTTTTGCTTGCCTTATTTAAAATTGTATAAATTATTTATCCAGCAGTATGTAACTCTTTGAACCTAACACTAAATTCAAGTTTCAACTGACCGTTTACACTCCCGTTTCTTCTTTTCTGCCATTATTAAAACTGTCTTTAAGATCTTCATGCCAAAATCATAATGATCCTGAAATACATATTCAATATCTGAGTCACTATAGTTCTGAAGAAGTAGAACCATTTAAAACAGTCACACACACATGTGCACATTAATAACCATCTATTCTGTAAAGGGGGTTTCTATAGGAATCCAAAACTAACTCTGCCTCTAATGCGCTCATTTCCTGTCTAAGCTGGTGCTCCTAAAAGTCCCTTTGCCTATGTCCTGGTCCTCCCTCCCTCCCTCCCTCTCTTTCTCCCTCCCTCCCGAGTTTAACTATGTTATCCAGCCTGGCCTTGAACTCTTGGGCTCAGGGGTTCCCATTGTCTCAGCTTCCCCAGTTCTGAGGACTACAGGCACGCACTGCTGAACTCAGGAGAAGCCTCTCTTAGAAGACAGGGTAGGGTAAGTGTAAAAGCTACAGCATCTGTGTTAAACTGTCTGAGAACTAGAGGGGAGGGAACTGGGGTATAACAAGAGGAAAGGATGGCTTTGCAGAAAATGCAGTTAGCTGTCCAAACTATTTTGGGTTGGAAGTGAATTCTAAACCCCAGAACGATTCTCAAGAAGGAGTTGGACTCAAATCAGCCTTGCCAGTAACTGAACTTGCAAGTGCAGTGTTGGGTTGTGCACCAACATACAGAATCAGACTGAGTGCTTGTGTTTTCACAAGTCCTCTAAGTTACTGGGATGTACAAAGAACTGGAGGACACAGATCTGGAGGCCGACATCTCTGAGCAGAGAGAACAAATGTGGTTTGAATATCTTTGAGTAAAGGCCAAGGACCATGGATGCATAGCCACTCTGAAGACAGCATCCCTGGTTTACAGTTGGCCTGGTCCTGCTGATTCCAATGGTGGACCTGTGTCTGAGTCACCTTTATAGACCTGGCTGTAAGTGTTAGGAGAGAGGCAGCCCCTCACCTGTTTTGAGAGCTGCTTGTCAGCTAAGTCATACAGGTTAACTAGCTTTGCAGACAGTGATCTTGAAGATTTGAAGCCAAATGAAAACAGAAATACTTCAATGATAACTTTGTAGTGGGGCACCATCATTGCCACTGGGCGAAACAGAGATTTTAAGTTACCTGGGAGTTCAACTCGACCTTTATACCTAAAGAGGAAAAGAAAAACAGCAACAATAATAAAAATCCAACCATGCTTTGCAGTTTTTCAAACTTGAAACTATATTACTTTGCCCCCAAATGATTCTATAGGCTTTCTGTGCAATCCATATGTGAAAATTAGGTGACTTTCACTTATCATCCTCTGAGCATGTTGGCCTATCATGTGTCCCGTGTCTCCCTGTATGGCTTGCCTCATCTCAGTCCTTCTGATTCCAGTGCAGCTCTTGTTCAGATGTTTGATGAACCCAGCCTTAAGTCAGAGGCTCAGTGTAACCGCCCATATGGACAGGGTGGAGATGTTACATCCGTTCATGGAAAGAGGCGGCTTTGGGCGCTGTGCCAGCTCCACGAGATGGAACTCTTACTCGGCACCTTTGTGAATGCTAAGAACCTGTGGCTGGACAGGGGTCGGTCCCTGGAGAGCTATCAGGGTTACTCTGCACACTATTAACCTGACTCCTAGGGATTCATCCTTACGGCTACAGAGTAGTGCATTTTGGCCCTGGGCAGAGAAACTTCGTTTACAGTAGATGGTGACAGGTACAGGCTCACAACGGGCCAAGCTGAAGAGAACAGCAAATTGCAGAGTCCTCGGCCACCAAGGGACATCAGCATCACACCACCCCCGCCCCCAGGCTGAAGGACCACCATGGAAAAGTCATTGGAGAGACTGCTAGATGCAGAGGTGGTGGGTGACTACAATGAAGCAGTGTTTTACAGGGCACTCATGACATAAAAGGTAGAAGCCACCTTTTTCAACTAGTTTTCAGATAAGGGTCTCATAGAAAGTCAACAGAATTTTTTTTTTTTTTTAGACGGGGTTGGGTGGGGGAGTATATGGTGTCAAGTTTGAAAAAGTCTACACAACAGAGCGGTTGAACACATGACCTCCCAATGGTGGTGACAGAATGCATGCCTAAAACCTAAGATTGAACCAAGCAAAATCCCAACATGGACAGGGGAGGTGGGCACTGAGCCCCATCCCTGTTGGAGGTGTTGGCAATTGATAATTGTGGGGGAGGGAGAGTTAGTTCTCTTTAGCAGTGTGGCCCTGGTAGGCTCCAGTGGATAGTCACACACCCAAGATTATATTTGGTAACACTAACTGGATTTGATTTTTTTTTTTAAAATGAGGATGCAAAGTTGTTTGCATATAGAATGAGGGGTGGGCCTGGGAGGGGTGGAGGTGAGGGGTGAATACCGTCAAAGTACAATGTGTGAAATTCTTAAAGAGTTGGTTAAAAAAAGATTCTGGAGGATGAATGGTAGGTACATGGTATCGGACAACCCACCCAACAGATGAGCTTGGAGAAAGGAATTTTAGTCTGTGTATACTGCCATTAGACTCATTGATATTTACCCAGGATTTAAGGTAATAAACACTGCACATGACATATTGAGACGTATTTCTTTCCCCTCCAGTAGAAACCTAAAAGACAGAAAAGTAGCATCATTAAAATCACTTCTCTAAGCCAGGCAGCAGTGCCAAACACTTTTAATCCCAGCACTCAGGAGGCAGAGGCAGGTGGATCTCTGAGTTCAAGGTCAGCTTGGTCTATAGATTGAGTTCCAGGACAGCCAGTTCTACACAAAGAAACCCTGTCATGGAAAAAAAATCACTCCTCTAGGCCAAAGGGTACTAAAACTATAATAAATCAGGGGAATTTTCTTCAGCCTTTATTACACTAAAATCCAAGGAAAACATACTGAAAACAACAGAGAGGAGGAGGTGGCTTATTTTGAACCAATGTTGAGTTCTGCTGGGCTTCAGGCATATTTGATGGTATCCAAAGATGTCCGAGAAGCTTCTGGGCCTGGATGTTCGAAGGCACTATCAGATGATTGGTCCACACAGGGAAGAGACGAAGAGACTCTGGGAAGACTGAAATGAGCTGGGCCTGGAAGACTCACTAGGAACACAGTGGCAGAGCCAGAGTTTCTACTTGGAACCCAGCCCACTTCCAACCTCCTTTTTGCCAAACCATGGGGACTATAGAGTGCTGGGAGATGGTTCAGCACTGGCTCCTCATCCTGCAGGCCCAGGTTTGGTTCCTGGCACCAATATGGTGCCTCCCAACCACCTGTAACTCCTCTGTGAGAGTACCTGTGGTGCACAGACATCCATGTAGGGAAAACACCCGTAAAACAATAGTAAAATCTCAAAAAATTAGAAAAAAAATTGGATAACTGTGAGGCAGATGCTTTGCCAAGACCACAGGTGTCCTGTCTGTGGTACCACAGGCAGAGACAATGGTGACAATGTCTGGGGTGATTTCTTGCCAAAGAGGACAGTTTAAATATGAGAGGCAGAACAGGCAGTACACAGCTGGACAGTCCCTGGGCACAAACTTGCCGAGGTTAAAGCACAGAGGAAGGTGGTAAACTGGGGGTTACTGTGCCCCCAATCTGTATCCACAGACCTGTAAGCCCTGGTGACATTAGCAGCATGACAGCCACCAGAGTAAAGTTAGCATCTGTCATCATGGGTGAGATGACATATTACAGAACATCCACCTGCACCCCAGAAGCCAGTCACATGAGCTTCCGAGTGCATCCAAAGGGAACACGTGCTTATTATTCATAAACAGTAGCCCTAACATGCATACATTTTATGGTAGTTTTCCAAATAAAAAGCACCCCAGTTTAGAATGGTGAGATGGCACCAGTAATTCTGTCTTTTTTTTTAATGTGAATAGAATTAAAGAAAAAAACAAATCCATGCAGAATTAAGGAAAATATCCATAACTCTTGATTTCTTCAATTGTAATATCCTAAGATGAAAGAGATTCTAAGATAGAGAAAATATTAGCTGGAGTATATCTGCATCAAGGGCTGGTGGCTCCAGGCTGCTCCAGAGTGTGAAAGTGTGGATAACTTTAAGTTGGCATTAAAGTTGAGAATATATACATTTTCCCCACATCATTTGCCAGAGGAAACATTCAAGGCAAGTGCCATCATTTTGTTGCATGCTGAACAAATCAAACTAAACCCAACCCAAAGACCCCAGCACTTATGTAAGAAAAGGACTTAGCACTAATCAAACAGTAACCATGTGTCAGATTCCCATCCCAAAGGTGTAACCCGTGAACAATACCTCACAGAATAGCTGTCCTTTGCAACCTTGATGGTGAGGATCTGTGAGGTGATGACAGAGAGAACTTCTATATCCATCCGGTTGAATTCATCAAAACAGCACCAAGCTCCTGACTGCACCAACCCGAAGAATAATTTCACCACTATCTTTAAAAAAAAAAAAAAAAAAAAAAAAAAAAGGATTACAGAAACTGTAAGGTGAACATTTCCCTCTGGATACTAAACGGCGTGTATTCTTTTCATCTTACCCAAATCCAATAAACATCTTTGGCATTTTTCTCTCCATAGAAAGTTTAGCAGTTGCTTAGACCACAGAGGAGTTTACTGCTGTTTCTTTTGAAAGCTTAAATACAAACAACAAACTCCTGAATTCCAGGACCATTGGCAGGTGCAGCTGACAGCTAACTGCACAAAGCCACTGAGGTCTCAGCCGCCTCCTAGTCATTGCAGCAGATGGGAGTCAGGTGTCAGAAGGCAGATGCCCTTCTCTGGAGCAGGCAGACTCCTCAGAGTTCGGCTTGGGCTCCAGGTGAGGCCAATGTTGACAGCAGGGGTGGGGTGGAGGTGATGAGGGGTGAGGGCTTGGGGAGCTTGTAAGCAGGTGTTATTAAAACACAGTGGCAACCTGCTAAAAACCCTATTGCTGTCAGTGATAAAATTTTAAGCTCTTATTGTAAGTTCTCCTGTGTTCGTTTTCCTGTAGATATGATAGAAAATGGGACAATTTGACTCTGTTGGATTCTTCCTTGCTGTCCCAGCTGTGCCTTGAGTAAAAGGACTCACAGTTAATCCCAACACCAGCTGCCTAGAGGACTAGTACTTTGAGAAAACCACAACAACCACAGGAGTTGTTCAGAAGTTTGTGCCAGGATTTTTTTTTTTTTTTTTTTTTTTAACCACCATAGGCCTTTGTGAACTCTAACTGTAACCATTTCCACTGAGGTCAGAGGGAGTGCCCGCTCCTACCCCCCATCCCCCCCCCAAGCCGAGAACTGCTCTGACACTAGAAAGGCCAGTCTGTGACTGGTCCAAGTACAAACCTCTAAAGCTGTGACTGACACTAAAGGGAAGGCCTAGACACTCCTGTGCTCAGTGACAATCTCCTGTGCTCCCTCCTCCAGACTGCAACTTTAGGCCCAATAATAGTTAGTTTGCTTTCTACTGCTGTGATAAAGACCATGACCAAAAGCAACTTGGGGAAGAAAGGGTTTTTTGAAGGCTTACAGTTGTAGGCCACCACGAAGGGAAGTCAGAGCAGGAACAGAAGCCAAGGAGGAGTGCTGGTTACTGGCTTGCTCCCCATGGCCTTGCTCAGCTACCTTTTATATTCGATCCAGGACCAGCCAGCAGAGTGGCTCCACCCACAGCAAGCTGGGACCGCCCACATCAATCCTTAATCAAGGTAATGTCCTGCAGACTTGCCTGCAGGCCAATCTGATGAAGGCATCCTCTCAATTGGAATTCCTTCTTTATTGACCCTGGCTGTGTCTGGTTGACAAAAAACTAAGCAGTACAAAGGCCTCCTGCAAATGGTCTTTTCTTGCTTGTTTTTTTAGCACTGTGGGCTGAGTTGGTAACAAGGACAGCTAAGTGGTGGTGAGAATGGGCGGAAACAGTGGTAATGGCGCAGTTGGTAGGCCTAGCCAGGTAAGTGGCAAGTTAGCCTGCTCGTTAGTTGCTGAATGAGCTCAAGAGACACCAGGGGAGGACAAACGACATGGGGGGGGGGGGGGGGGGGGAGTGGAGACTGAAGGCTAAGAAGCTCCAGAAATCCAGAAAGCAGGCACTGCTGGCCTCAGGCCTCAGTTACTGGAAGAATTCATAAAACTAGAACTCTTTAGGGACAAGGTCTTAGGCCCTGACTATAACACTGGTTAGTGCTAAGGGTTAAGGAATCCTGACATGGTAGGCCAACATAAGGACCAGAACAATGGCTGGTACCCCAATAAGGGCTGCTTGGAAATTACAATGGAAGTTGCACCTAAGAACAGAGGAATCTCAGCTGCCTGGGCCTACACAGGAGCTTTAAGACCAACAGGATAAAGCACCGGATACCAGAGGATTGTGGGAGGATGGTGACATTGGAGGGTGCCACAGGCTGCTGCTCCCCCCCCTCCACCAAACACAAAGGAAAACAAGAGCTGGCAAAACACCATCTCTTGAAAGTCTTTTCTTGCCTATCCAAAATTTCTATCCAGGTGGAGCAAGAGGACCCACACCAAGCTGACTGGAACCACGGACGAGTGACCCAAGCCCTGAGCCCCAGAGAGATCCCAGCCAGACTCAAGACTGCCCAGCAGAGGCACACAGCTGACCGACAGCCTAATCAGTAGAGGCACACCGATGATGGCCCACCCTTCTTTTGCCAGCTGCTACACGCCCAAGTTAGCCAGGCCCTACAACAGCCTTCTGTGAATGCTAAAAATCTGCACTGAAATCTGTTGACCTGAAAATACTACCAACTAAAAGAAAACAGCAGTGCCAAGCAAAACCAAAAACCTTCATGGGCTGGAGAGAGGTTGAGAGATGCCTGGGGTCTCAAGTGTAGAGAGGGGGACAGAAAACAGGGTTCATGGGTCTGGGGTACATAGAAGCTTCTGGATGAAGCCAAAAATCAGAAAACCTTTGCGTTAAGTGTCAATATTTTGTTCACCATGGGATATTTTGGGCTCTAGCCAACATGTAAGACAAGTTGCAGGGTTATACAGCACTTGCTCACCGTGAGGGACCTGAGTTCAGTCCCCAGCAGTAGGCTACAAAGCCCCCAAACTGTAGTGCTGTGAAATTTTGAGTTCAATTTATCACCTGAGATTTTAATAAAAATATTTTAAGATTTTATTAGGCATGTCTCAGATTATTATCATCATTATTTCTATAAGTGTTTTTGGGGTCCATCACTGTAGCCTCTTTGAGTTTAATAATTACCTTTTTAGTAAATAAATGTTCAGGGTAGGGCACTTCTTTGCGGGATGGGGGTTGTTTGACACAGGGTTTCTCTGAGTAGCCCTGACTGTCCTGGAATTCACACTGCAGACCAGGCTGGCCTCGAACTCAGAGACCCACCTGCCTCTGGCTTCTGAGTGCTGAGGTTAAAGGTGTGCGCCACCACTGCCCGGCTTGAACATTTGTATATACTCCCATGTGCTTTGTGCATGTAAGATTTTAGTTAAAAAAGAATCCCACTGTCATAAAAATCGAGAATTATTGCTTTAAGGAATTCAGTTCAACCACTTAAAAGAAAAAATAAAATTAAAAAAGTTTTAACTTTCAAATAGGGTCTAGGCTTCTACTCTGTATTCATTAAAAGAACTAATAGTATTTATACTCTTACATATATATATATATGTATATATATGTATGTATATTTTAAAGATTTTATTTATTATGTATACAACATTCTGCTTCCATGTATATCTGCACACCAGAAGAGGGCACCAGATCTCATAACGGATGGTTGTGAGCCACCATGTGGTTGCTGGGAATTGAACTCAGGACCTCTGGAAGAGCAGCCAGTGCTCTTAACCTCTGAGCCATCTCTCCAGCCCTTACCAATATTTTTTTTTGTATTTTTTCTTAGTTTTTTATTCATCAATGAACCATTTCACATGCATATTTTTGAGTATATAGACTTAAGCTTTACCTTATAATCCAAATCTTCAAAACAGTTGAAGACCACACAATGTTTACCATAGCTCTGGAAAACAAAATACTGTTTTAATATAGTTCTTGAGTTATGCCACAAAATCACAAAATACAGGTGTTTTAAACTGCCAGAGTAAGAAAATATTTCTACCAAGTTTTTGAGGAAAAAAATAGTTAAAAAATGAGTTAGCAGCTGGGCTTTGGTGGCGCACACCTTTAATCCCAGCACTCAGGAGGCAGAAGCAGGCGGATCTCTGTGAGTTCGAGGCCAGCCTGGTCTCCAGAGCGAGTGCCAGGATAGGTTCCAAAGCTACACAGAGAAACCCTGTCTCGAAAAAAAAAAAAAAAAAAAAAAAAAAAAAAAAAAAAAAAAAAGAGTTAGCTTCTTTGGGGTTGTAGATTGTAGGCTGGTTATTACTTTGCTTTAAATATGATATTCACTTATGAGTGAGTACATACTATATTTGTCTTTCTGGGTTGCCTCTCTCAGGATGGTTTCTTCCTAGTTCTTTCCATTTGCTTGCAAATTTAAAGATGTCACTGTTTCTTACTGCTAACTAGTACTCCATTGTGTAAATGTGCCGTATTTTCTTTATCCATTCTTCAGCTGAAGGGCAACTAGGTTCCTTCCAGGTTCTGGCTATTGCAAATAAATGTTGCTATGAACTTAGTTGAGCAAATGTCCTTGTGGTGTGAATGTGCCTCCTTTGGGTACATGCCCAAAAGTGGTATTGCAGGGTCTTGAGGTAGATTGATTTCTAACTTTCTGAGAAATCGCCAAACTGATTTCCATATTGGTGTAGAAGTTGGCATTCCCACCAGCAACAGAGGAGTGATCCTTTTATTCCACAACCTCTCTAGCATAAGCTGTCATCGCTGTCAGTGTTTTTTATTTTAGCCATTCTCCACAACCGCAGAGAAGCTAGATCCCTCTTGCAGAAACACATGGAAGAAGATGCAGAGATCTATAACTAACCATTGGGTCACCTCTCAGAGTATGATCGCAGTGAGGGAGGAGTGACGATATGAACAAAGGAGTCAAGACCATGCTGCAGAAACCCACAGAACCAGCTGACTAGGGCTAGTGAGAGATCACAGACTCAGCACTGTCAACCAGGAGCTGGCATAGGACTGAACTAGGACTCTTGAATACTCTTGAATGGTGTGGCTTGGGCAGTATATGGAGCCACTGGCAGAGGGACCAAGGTCTAGCTATGTGCATAAATTGACTTTGCAGAGCCCATTCACTATGGAGAGATACCTTGCTCAGCCTAGACATGGGTGGTGCACCTTGGCCCTGCCTCAGAGAGGTGATGGGACAGACTTAGTTGACATCCTAGGGGAGGCTTTACCCTCTCTGAGGAGTGGATGGGAGGTTCAGTGGTGGGGGGAGGGGGGGAGGAGGGAAGAGTTGGAGAAGAGGAGGGGGGTGGAACTGGGATTGGAATGTAAAATAAATAAATAAATAAAATTTAAACAATGAGTTAGATACCAAGTTTAGAGACCCACAGAACTAACAGGGTATGCATGTGATTAGCTGCTATAGGAGAGCCGATGAATTTACAGAGCTTTAGGTCATGATTTACACAACAACAAAACCAAGGGGGAAATAGAGCAGAGAAATAAACGGTTCCTTCCCTCACCTCCTGCACTGTCAATCAGTCAATTCATGCAGTAAGATTCCAGGTACAGGCAAAGATGGTTGGCTTTCATAAGACCCTTCACATGGTAGACACTCAAAGTTTATTTGATGGAGTGTACCGTAATGAATGTGTTGGTAAATACAATGAACATTTTAACAGCAGTAATAGTGTAAAGTTAAGATGTGATTGAAGTCTGTGTGACAGAAATTCTGGATACAGGAGCTACTTACTTTTGCTAGGTCTTTAACAGTTTCAGTTTTTCCTACCCCTGCTGGCCCAGCACAGCAGCCTCCTAGGTTGAAGTACAGGGCTGACATGAGAGTCAGCCAGCATCTTTCTGTGAGGGGCGTGATGATCAGCCTTGGTGTGCAGCCCAGGTACTCGTAGCCATAAACATAATTGGTGTTTCCTTGGGATATGTAACACAACTTTTGCTTTTCGTTCCATTTATATTGCAAATGTCTGAAAGCAATACTCATATATTATTTGGGCAAAAACATTTTTGCACATAGAAACATAATCATTTTAAAACAATTTAAATAGACCCACAACCCCTTGTGTTAATAAGCAGAAATTAATACTAAGTCTCAGTGGGAGCGGCTGTCAGGACACAGAAAAACTCTGCCTACAAAACACAGATGCAAAAATCCTCAATGAGATATGTGCAAACCAAATTGAACACATCAAAAAGATTTTATACCATGATCAAATTTTTTTCATTCTAGAGTCATGGGGACAGTACAACATGCCTAAATCAATAAACAGAGTCCACCAAATAAACAGATTAAAAAGAAGCTCAGGGGTCGGATAGTGGAGAACACCTTTGATGCCAGAGCTTTAGAAGCAGAGGTGGGTGAATCTGTGAGTTCCAGGACAGCCAGAGCTACACAGAGAAACCCTGTCTTGAAAAGTCAACGAAACAAACAAACAAACAAAAACAGAAAAAAAACCCAAAACCAATCAAACAAAAAACAGATAAAAAGACAAAAAACACATGATCATCTCATTAGATGCAGAAGATTCTTTGTCAAAACCTAACACTCCTTTATGATAAAAGTCTTAGAGACACTAGGAATGCAAAGGGTACACTTAACATGATAAGGTCAGTTTATATCAAGCCCACAGCCACCATCTTCTTAAAGGGAGGAAAACTCAAAGCATTTGCACTAAAGTCAGGAACAAGACAAGGCTGTCCACTCTCTCCATCCACCTACTCAATATAGTGCTTGAAGTCTTAGCTAGAACAGTAAGACAACTGAAGGTAATCAAAGGACAACAAACAGGAAAGGAAGAAGGAAATCCTTATTTGTAGATGATGTGATTGTATACATAAAAGACCTTAGATACTCCACCAGGAAATGTCTACTGCTGATAAACACTCTCAGCAAAGTAGCAGGATAGAAAATTAACGCACAAAACCCAGTAGTCTTCATAGACATAAATGGCAGACAGAGAAAGAAATCACGGAAACAGCACCTTTCACAATAGCCTCAAAAATATCTTTGATAACTCTAACCAAGCAAGTGAGAGACTTGAATAAGAAAAACTTTAAGACACTGAAGAAAGCAATTGAAAAAGATGTCAGAAATTAGAAAGATCTCCCATCAGCAGGACTAATACTGTAAAAAACCAAAAACCAAAAGCAATCCTCAAATACTGCTCAAATTACTCTGCAAAATAGAAACAGAAGGAACATTTCCAAAGGCTTTTTTTTGAAGCTACTGTTACCCTGATTTTAATTTCATAAACTGCTATGTTGCTGAAAGTGACTTAGCGGCTGTAGAAGTTTCCTGGTGACATCTCTAGGGCCTTCTATGCACAAAATCATAAAAAGAAATACATAGATTCACTGCAATCATCATAAAAATTTCAACATAATCCTTCACAGAAACAGCAAGCAAGCAAACACACAAATAAGCAACAACAAAAACAACCTTCACCTGGAAATCCAAAATCCCAGGATAGCTCAAGCAACCCTGAAAAATGAAAGAACTTCTATCACCAGCTCTGATTTCAAGTTGTACTTTGGAGCTATAGTAATAAGAACAGGATGATATTGGCATAGAAACAGACACACTGATCAATTGAATAGAATTGAAGACACAAAGCAAGTCTACATACCCATGAACACTTGGTTTTTGACAAAGAAGCTCAAATTACACACTAGAGAAAAGATAGCATTTTCAACAAACGGTGCTGGTCAAACTGGATGACTGCATGGAGAATTAAAATAGACTCATCTCTATCACCCTGCACAAAATTCAGTTTCAAATGGATCAAGTCCCTGAGTCTGATAGAACTGACAGTAAGGCATTCATTTGAACTCATTGGCATAGAAAGGGACTTTCTGAACAGGACGCCAAGAGCACAGGCATTAAAGCCAAAGGTTACTAAATAAGACCTCATGAAGCTAAAGGGCTTCTATATAGAAAAGGACACCATTATTTGAAAAAGTGGCAGCCTATAGAATGGGAAAAAACCTTTACCAATTATACATGACAGAGAGTTAGTATCTAGAATAGGCTAAGAACTAAAACAAAAATGAACTTAAGAAAAATAACTCATTTAAAAATGGGATATAGAGCCGGGTGTTGGTGGTGCACGCCTTTAATCCCAGCACTCGGGAGGCAGAGGCAGGCAGATCTCTGTGAGTTCGAGGCCAGCCTGGTCTCCAGAGCGAGTGCCAGGATAGGCTCCAAAGCTACACAGAGAAACCCTGTCTCAAAAAACAAACAAACAAACAAAAGGGTTATAGAACTAAACAGCTAGTTCTCAAAAGATGATACACAAATGGCTGAGAAATGAGTTTTTAATGTGTTCAAAATCCGTTGGCAGGGGGGGGGGGGGTGAGGGGACCAGCACACATGCTTACTGCTGGTGGGAGTGCAAACTGGGAAAGGTCAATACAGAAATCAGTGTGGAGTCTCCTCCAAAGCTGCAAATCCATCAACTACAAGATCCAGCTACACTACACTTGAGTATGTTCCCCAGAGGGTTCCATATCTTCCTACAGAGATGCTTGCTCCTCAATGTCCTCATCAGAAAAGTCTCTTCTTTGAGTAGATGGTAATGACACAGAGACCTAAAATTGGACAAAGTATATGAAGAGAGAGAGAGAGAGAGAGAGAGAGAGAGAGAGAGAGAGAGAGAGAGAGAGAGACAGACTTTGGAGCACTCAGCCCTACATTCGACGTCTTTATCGAAACTCTCACTTCAAGGCTTGGGATCTGGGTAGAAGAGGTAGACAGACGGTAGGAACCAGAGGTGATGGGTGATTCCCAGGAAACTGTCTTCCAGACACCACAGGGTTTATATACACATGAACGCACAGAGACCGTGACAGCAGGCACAGACCTGCACTGGTCAAAGTCCAGACACAATCCCAGCACCGAGAAGAGGAAGTGGACACAAAGGCCCACCCCTAAGCAAGACATTATTTGTGATTGATGCCTCTAAGAAAGGGAAAAATCAGTTTTCTCCAATGAGTGATATGGGTATATGGACCACATTCCAGGGCACATGAGTAATTGCTCAACACAAAACAAAATCCGTATTTTTGTGAGCTTTTTGTTGTGTTAATTTTTTGTCTTACTGGAAAATTTTGGTTTCTCTGTTTTGATTTTTACTTTTTGGGAGACAGATAAAGAACTTGACGTTAGTGGGTAAGGAAGTGGAAGGATCTGGGGGAAGGGACAGGATATGATTAAAATATATTGTATAAAAATAAAAAAGCAAGCAAACAAATCAAAGTACTAAAATCTGTGGGAAAATAACATTTACTTATGACTGTATTAGTAGAAACCACGAGGTACAAATTTATAGTAATCTAGTAGTCTTTACACATCTTAAACAGTTTAGGGCTGTGTTGCTTTTGAATACAAGTGGAAGCTGACAGTAAATGGCCGCCCAGTTTCCCGCTGAGTGCCCTTCTCTCATTAGACTATAATTAATACTGTGATGTAGTTGTTTGTCTATCATTCACACCTCTCAACCCCTTCTGGAACAACAGAGCAGATTATAAAGAAATTAACCGAGTCAATCTTCAAAATAAAATTAAGATAAAAGCAATTTAGAACTATCTGTATGCTACCACCTGGCCAACTCTCAGATGAGAGAACACATAACTAGGTAAAACCAGAAAGCCTTTTCATTTAGTGTATGGGACCCATGCTCAAACTTGCCTCAGCAGAAGTAGCTTCTCTTTCTCTGTGCCTTCACTAACTGACTCCAAGCAGGAGGAAAAGTTGCTGAGTTGGATTATTGACTAGAAACATTCTTCTGTTTCTTTAACCTTGTCTGTTCCACACTGAGAGCATGGGAGGAAACGAGGCACCATGCATACCACCCATCACTACTGCTGAAACCTGTTCCTAGGCTTAGTGACAACAGACAAAACACACACACCAAACTGAAGAGCACCATTGGCTCAGAAGATAAGGCAGAGGGGCAAGTGAGGGGAGGGAAGAGGACCAAGGGAGCAGGGGTAGGACCACAATGCTTAGAGGAGCAGCCCATCCTTCAAGTGCAAACCGAGATGGACAAAGCCTGAAGCAAAGAAGCTAACGGTCCATATGTGAGAAGTTGTTCTATGTAGTTCTTGGTTGGTTTTTTTTTTTTTTTTTGCCACTTACCTCGTCCACTCAAAGTCCTCTGCACTGCAGATGTTCTTGGCTAGCAGGTCTGTCACAATGTCCCTGCAGTGAGCAGTGATGGTCAGCATTGCTGCTAGCATGACTTTTGTGCGAAACTTGCCAGCGTTTAGTGTGACCAGCACAACCAAGTCTTCCATATGACATAGTACATTGGCATGGACTGCTTCTAGACTTTTCCTTACATTAGAACTCATAAAACCTTTCATACAATCATTATAGAACATGATCTGTCTCTGAAAAAAAAGAGAGATGGAAACACATATTAATAGAAGCATACGATCTTGTTTTTCATTAAAATATTTCCATGAATTAAATGCTACGGATCTATAGGGGCGATTTGTGTGTAAAAGAAAGCACACGTAGGTTTGAAAGCTGAATTTTGATTGATGCTTATGACTTCTTTATGTTTTCTAAATCTTATGTTTTAAAATTCTGTTGTTTTTGTTGGTGTCACATATGTACATTGTGGGTCATACACGCTTCATCTTCCTTTCCTGAGCCCTTCTCTGTCCTCCAGAGCCCCATCCTACTTTCAGGTTTGTGTGCCTGTGTGCCCACTGGATTTGCCAAGGGCTGCTTTCGTGGAGAATTGGTGGAGTGTTCAGCCCTAAGTGGTCATTTATATCACCCCCTCCAAAGCTCAGGGACCGTCAAGGAAGGAGGAGGGCAGATAACGCAAGAGCCAGAGGATGGGCAGGTGTGCTGTAACCAAGAAGTCTTCTGACCATGACATGTCCTGTGTACCCATGAACTCACTGCATTACTGAGTAAGACCCCCAAGAGACTGGGCTCATAGACATTTCATCCTGGAAGGAGGAAAGGCACACGAGGCCTGTCCCTCCCTGAGGGCCTCCTGCCGGTTATGGGTGACTGCAGGAAAGGGTGTTGCTTTCTTTGGCAGTGTTATCTAGCCTGTTGTCCATGCTCCAGGGAATAAATCTTGCCTTCTTAAAACATGATCATTCAATAATAACCCGAGCACAATAACAATGGTGGAGAACCCCAAGATTAGGTTAGTGTTGTCTCCTCGGCTCTCCTAGCACAAAGTGCATATATCTGTGGTTTTAAAAGTCATGCGGCTTCTTTTATCTGATTCACTGGCACATTCATTCATTCTCCCCAGACATATAAGAGCTGTGCGAAGAGAATGCCTTAAAACCAGGCAGACCGTGCAGGTTAAAGAACGCAAGCCATCAGGAAAGCTCCCGAGTCTGGAAAATGAGGTCAATTGGGACTTCTAGACAGGGTCTTTAGGAAGAGGATCATGATTGGATAAGGGGGCAGCATGAACTCACTTTGAACTATGCTGAATTTTTAAAAAGATTTTATTTATTTATTATGTATACAACATTCTGTCTCCATGTATGCCTGCGCACCAGAAGAGGGCACCAGATCTCATTACGGATGGTTGTGAACCACCATGTGGTTGCTGGGAATTGAACTCAGGTCCTCTCGAAGAGCAGCCAGTGCTCTTAACCTCTGAGCCATCTCTCCAGCTTGAACTATGCTGAATTTAAAGTGCTTAAAAACATATAAGTAGAGCTATACAGTTCTATCGCTGGGAATAGTTAGCATAATTATTAGCATAATAATTAGCATAATTAGCATAATAATTAGCATAATTATATATTATATATAATAATTGTGGTGATATATTTCCAGAGAAAGGTTAAGAGGGTTAGATGGTAGAAACCTAGTGCATTAATTGGCATTCCTTTTTGCACGCAACAGAAACTAACTTTAAAAGATTATTTCTTAATTTTGTGAGTTTATAATATAATTACATCTATGGGAAAATATGTTTTTGTCACATACGGCTTGTCCTTGTGGTTGTATACAGCTTGAACTCCTGAGAACTTTACTCATGTGACCTTTCCTAATCCTCAGAATATAAATTGTCTGGGGCTCTAAATAAAGTTGGTCATTGCATGAGATTTTAGTCTGCCTCATTTGTGGGCTTCATACTCCAAGGTCCCATCACCTCTACCATGGTGACACACTTATTTCTAGAGGAATCACTAAGTGCTATAGCATGGGCAAATCTATATAGAAAATCTTAGTGGCCAATATACAGAGCCATCTCGTCCCATTCTCTCAAAAATGTCTTTTTATGCTTAATCAGAGACATCTCTCTGTGGAGAGTTCCAGAGAGCTGTAAATTCAAGGGAGCCGTAAATTAGGCCCTAGGGTGGGAAATAAACAATGGGTAAGGTAGATGGGGGAGTCGCTGGGCCAAAGCACACTCAGGGACAGAGATAGAGCCCACTCTAGAGTGATTCCAAGAGCCCAGTGCAGTGTGCTCAAGCATACTTGGGCCACCAGGGACCCAGGGAAGAGCTCCTCTTAGGGAAAATTGGGCTATTTGAATTTGCCAAACTACAGAAATGTATAGATCCCCTTGTAATTCTGTCACCGTCACCCAAACAGCTTATACCAGCCTTTCAGCTTAAGACCCGGCATTTACTTGAGCAAGTGGAGAGCAAATGTGTGTTTTTATGGTCCCAGGTGACCTTAGTGAAGATTTGAAAATTGTGGTGGGTCAGGCGAAGTTTTAAAAAAAAAGGGGGGTTATTTTTAAATGAGAGAACTGTAAGTCAAGTATGCTTTCTGAGATACTTAATGGTTACTATGGTCATGGCTTTCTGCTTTCCCCTCTCCAGATAAACCAGTCTCCAAGGTTCACATTGACCTTAATGACTGACAAGTTACACAGTTTCAGATTGCATTAGTGACACTGCTCATTGTTGTTGCAGGATATTTGATCACACTGTGAACCCGAGATTGTGTTATTTACAGAAAAAAACCTGTCTCTAGCTAAGGTGGGGCTCAGCCCTCGCACACACCTTTCTCCAAGAGCTTTCTGCCGGAATATTGCAAACAGGATTAAATAAAGTCAACCAGAGGTCTAGAGGCAGAGCAAGCAGCCAGTTGCCACATGGTGGCTCACAACCGTCTGCAATGAGATCTGGTGCCCTCTTCTGGCCTGCAGGGATACGTGCAGACAGAACACTTTACATAATAAATAATCTTAAAAAAAGAAAAAGAAAAAGAAAAAGAAAACACAGAGAGTAAGAGGGAGTCAGGAGGATAGAGAAAGACACACAGTGATGTGGGGGGGCATGGAGTGAGGGAGCTCAACTGAAATCGTGGGAGAGAGGAGACGTCCAGTATGGTGGCGGAGGCGGAAGGGCAGCTGGGTGCTTTCTCTGCCTTTCTGAGTTAGCAGGTTTTCACCCCAGCATCTGGCTTCTGAGTTTTTATTGGTAAAATCAAAGGATTGAGATTTTTGTTAAACACACACACACACACACACACACACACACACACACACACACACACACACAGTCATGACAAAATACCCGACAAGAAGCAACTTAATAGGAAAGGATTGATCTTGTTTCCTGGTTTGAGGGCACAGTCCATCATGTCAGGAAAAGGCATAGTACAGGAGGGGTAGCAGTTCTCAGCTGTGGGACCAGAAACAAGAGGCTGCTTGCTCTCTCTCATACAGATAGAGAAAGAACAAGGCGCTCACCAGGGCTATAAAACTTTGAGGTCTGCCTCCCATCCCTGACCCCTAGTGACCAGCTCCCTCGAGGCAGGCATCTAGCACCTCTAGCTGGGACCACAAGTGTGGGAGACTTTTCACATACAAACCGGGACACAGATCTCTGAAGGCCTTATGAATTAGGACTGCCCCCTTTTCTTATGACCCTTCAGTTTTTTTTAGTGAAAGATCAAAGAAACAAACAAAAAGTCATCCTCTCAACTCCACGGTTACTTCCCTACCCCCTCTTCTGCCCCACCCCACTCTTTTGCAGTACTGGACATGGGCTAGTCTTTCATCAATTCCTTAAATGTTATCCGCCTTTGGGGCTCCTCTGTCTTCTCTTATTTTGTAATTCTGCTGAGGGGGATTTCACACTTTTCTAATTTTCTTTCCTTTCCTCTTTTAACAAGTGTGTGTGTGTGTGTGTGTGTGTGTGTGTGTGTGTGTGTGTCTACATATATGTCATATATGTATGTGCAGGCATCATGGGGTTAGAAGAGGTGTCTGATCCCCTGGAACTGCAGTTATAGAAGGCTGCCAGCTGCCACATGGTGCCTGGGAACCAAAGCAGGTCCTCTGCAAGGGCAGCCAGTGCTCTTAACTGCTGAGTCACTGAGCCAACCGCCACAGCATTACTCTTTTAAGCTCAAGAGAAGCAATACAATGAACACCAACAAATTTGCAGAATGCTATTAACACCAACAAATTTGCAGAATATGGCCTTCTACCAAGATGTTCATGTCCTAATCCCTAGAACCTGTGATGATCCCAAGAGACACAGCAGATGTGCCCGAGAATGTTGAGATGGGGGAAGATTACTCTGGGTTATCTGTGTTGCATGCATCCTTACAACCAGAGACTTCTTCCCATCTCTGAGCAGGAGGTGTGGCTACAGAAGGATGGCTGGGATCATGAGAAGCGATGCAACCAGCTCTGAAGGAGGAGGAAGAGGCCATAAACTGAGGTGTCCTGGCCACCTTCTCTCTAGGACCTGGGGGAGGCCAGGGATTGGAGCCCCTTCCCCCTAGAGCCTCCACTCACATCTGCCAACAACGTGACCTCAGCAGGGAGCCCTGCACTGTTCTTTTCACCCACAGGCCTTTACGACGACCAATTTAGAAGTTTTAAGCCAAGTTTAGAGTAACTTTTAATGGTAATGGTAAAAAATGTGTTGAGTGCAATTAGTGACACTTTTAGGAAAATAGTTTATGGGTGACTCTTATTTCATATTATAAACTGAATATTTTAAACTCTAAGAGGGTGAAGGAATTCTAGAATGAATAACTGTTCATTCATTATAGAATGAATTTATCAGCCGCCAGCTTTCTGTAATAATTTTGCTATTTATCATGTCATTTATGTACCTACAAATGCATTTCATCTTATTTTTAAGTACATTTCAAACTAACCAGGATGTATCGGTACCTTTCATAATAGCTCATTGTCATATTTTTACTTTCTCAGAACTGCATCCACACACTCATCCCTCTCATGACGCCAGGGGGCATCCACTCACCACAGTGAGGACAACTTGTCCTGGATGTGATAGTACCCAATCGGAAAAAGTCTGGAAGTCCCAGTCTTCAATACCTTGGATCAGAAATCTATAAACCCAAAAGATACATTTATGTTATCCATTCATGCTCATTGATGATGCTACTTAATGATGAAGCATTAACCCTGCTGCCATTTTAATCTGAACAGGCACCCATGAGTGATGTAGTCTTTAGGGTTCCCTTTACCGGTCAGTGTCTGGATTGGTAGAAATATATATTGGCTTAACAGAAGAGTATATCAGTCTTGAATTATAATGTTATCAGGGGTAAAAAGCTAAAAAGGCTGTGTTCAAAAATAGTTTTTACTGGCCAGCCTGACCCCTACCAAAGTGAGTGTACCCTCTGCTCCTGCCCTACTCCTGCCCAAAGTCCATTCACCCCGGATCTCTCTGGGCCTGGGCCTGCTTAGAGTGGAACCGCCCAGGCAGGGAGGAGGAGCTCCCTGAGTCTGGAAACACCTCACTCTTCCTTCCCCCTGTGCCCGGTCTGACCCCTACCGAGGCCAGATACCTACTTAGTGAGGCGACTACCAGGAGAGGCAAGACCATCCAGAGCTGCAGACATTGAAGTCTTGGCCCCCACACACCAACGGGTGACAAGAGGAGATAGAGAGACCCAGACCTGCACCCACTGGAAGAAGAGATGGGAAGACAACAGTATAAGAACACACTCAACAACAGAAAGACCAATATGACGCCACCAGAATCTAGGGACTCCACACCAGCAAGATCTGAAAATCTCAACACAGAGGATGAAGAAGAGATGGACCTCAAAAATTATCTTAGGAAGATGATAGAGACCTTTAAAGAGGAAACAAGAAAATCCCTTAAAGAAATAGAAGAAAAAACAAGCAAAAAATTACATGAAATGGAGGAAAAGACCAACCAAAAAATTCAAGAAGTAAACAAATCTCTTAAAGAATCTAAAGAAAGCCAAGAAAAAACAACCAAACAAGTGACGGAAGCACTCAAAACAGTTCAAGACATGAAAGCTGAAATAGACACAATAAAGAAAAGACAGAACGTGGGGATGCTGGAAATAGAAAGGCTGGATAAACGATCAGGAACTAAAGATGAGAGTATAACCAACAGAATTCAAGAGATGGAAGAGAAAATCTTCTCAGTTGTGGAAGACTCGCTAGAGGATATACAGTCATCGACCAAAGAAAATCACAAGTCCAACAAATCCCTAACACAAAATATCCAGGAAATATAGTCATCGTGAAAAGACCGAACCTAAGAATAATAGGTATAGAAGAAGATGAAGATATACAGCTCAAAGGTACAGAAAACATATTCAACAAAATCATAGAAGTAAACTTCCCCAACCTACTGAAGGATATGCCTATGAAAGAACAAGAAGCTTACAGAACACCAAACAGACAGGACCACAAAAAGAAT